GTTTAACAAGAATTTCATTCACATAAAAAGTTTTTTTCATAAAATATCATTAGTTTAAAAACAAGAGGGCCATGATGGCCCTGAAATCGCTCGCCTTTATATACGCCCCTGGACCAAGGCCAAATCAGGGGCTTTTATTTGAACAAACTTGGTAGACACTCATTAGAAGACGTTTCATGATAAATATCTAAGCTTTAGCTCTTTGGGGTTTTTATAAGAGAATTTTTTAAGTTTTTGCTATATACATATAGGGAAAAACAATGACTCCCCCTGGGAGAGGCCAATTTTGACCCCAGGTCTTTTATTTGAACAAACTTGGTGGACATTCACTACAAGAAATTTCATGCTAAGTATCTAAGTCCGAGCTCTTTGATTTTATAAGAAGATTTTTTAAGTTTTTACTATACACATATTACCGCTAGGGCGGTGCCAATTTTAACCCAAGGGCCCTTATTTGAACAACTTGGTAGACACCCATAAGAAGATGTTTCATGGTAAATATCTTAGCGCTAGCTCTTTGGGAATTTTAAAAGAAGATAAGGTACTTATTTCAAAATTTAATTGAATTCCAATGTACCTTCTCATTGTCAGTGTTGATTTCAAATTTTTGTATTTTACTGGATATATTCTTTAAATCAATGTTATCTTGTGGCATCATTTCTGTGACACTTTCTGGCTGTCCGTATTACTGCAGCCCACTGCCTGTTCTATAAACATATGACGATTTGCTGACTCAGATGAACAGATGAATGATTAGAGTTCCCTTCGTTTTGGGTATGACCTTTTTAAGGTACTTATTTACATGTTCTATTGATTCCAATCTATATTTTGACAAGGAATACCATAACATGCTAAAGAAACAATTTTTATTTTGGAGGACACAGTTATCACTGTAGAAAACAAAATTCTTTGTACCTGGCTTTACTTTGTAAAAGTCCATGAACGCAAGATAATACTTCACAAGCTCTACTTTTGCCTATATTCTCATTCCATTGGTAGCTAAACCAATCATATGAACCAATGTCATATATGGGGAAGTTAAATGAATTGAGCCTCTTCTCATAAAAAAAGACACGATTTAAATCCATGTGGAGTTATCAGAATTAGCTAAAGATCAAAACAACAGACCAATAAATTTTGTTCAATTTTATATCTATGTTTATCCGTTTCTTTATTCTCTCTTACATTCAAATGTTTTGTTTTTCAGATGTATTTTATAAGAAAATTCAAGATTTCTTTTTTCATTTACTGAAGCATTACAATATAACTTGCAGAAGTCACATTGGTCTTTGTTTGGACGATGAAATGATAAGATAAATTTTGTATGAACAATAAATCTGTACTTGCCTTCTAATACAGGCTCATCTCTATTAGACAATCATTCTTATACAGTCTGTTCAATTTTGATATATTCAGTCCCGATGATAGATAACTTTTTATATCTGCTATACAATAATAACTTTCTACAGTGATAAATGATTTAATAAGGGGAGAGACCTTTTCAATCATTTCTCGACAGGATGTCGACCACGTTGGTCATATTCACAATAACCAATGTTGTTAAGTTTCTTGTGATGTTGACACCATCTTGTCAGATATACTTTATGCTTTAAATGGAAATTATTACATACTTTAACCTTTTGGTATTTATCTGAACATGGCATATACCGGAAAATTGTAGCATTTCTCCTACTGGTCTTAAATTTCTTCGATTTTTTACTGTGTAATGGGACATAAATTGCCTCTGCTTATTAACACAACTCAGTTTCCAAAAAGAATTAAAAATATTTTCTCTGTCTTTGTCATAAACATTTTCATTACATTTAAATCTGCATGCTTAACGACAACCTTCTTTCAGAACTCTTGATGACCAAGCCCTACTTCCTGTACTAACATAACTTTTATTTACCTGAATTTCTTCTAGCCCTTTCTACACTCCTCTTTCATTTACTTGAATCTTTTTTTTCTCTTTCTACTTCTATTTACCCCCATTACAGCATTTGAATCTTCACCAGTATCATCAATGGAATCTTTGTTACTGCAGGAATCACCAGTATCATCAATGGAATCTTTGTTACTGCAGGATTCACCAGTATCATCAATGGAATCTTTGTTACTTCAGGAATCACCAGTATCATCAATGGAATCTTTGTTACTTCAGGAATCACAAGTATCATCAATGGAATCTTTGTTACTTCAGGAATGACATGTATCATCAATGGAATCTTTGTTACTTCAGGAATCACCAGTATCATCAATGGAATCTTTGTTACTTCAGGAATCACCAGTATCATCAATGGAATCTTTGTTACTGCAGGATTAACCAGCATCATAAATGGAATCTTTGTTACTGCAGGATTCACCAGTATCATCAATGGAATCTTTGTTACTTCAGGAATCACCAGTATCATCAATGGAATCTTTGTTACTTCAGGAATCACAAGTATCATCAATGGAATCTTTGTTACTTCAGGAATCACAAGTATCATCAATGGAATCTTTGTTACTTCAGGAATCACAAGTATCATCAATGGAATCTTTGTTACTGCAGGAATCACCAGTATCATCAATGGAATCTTTGTTACTGCAGGAATCACAAGTATCATCAATGGAATCTTTGTTACTGCAGGAATCACCAGTATCATCAATGGAATATTTGTTACTGCAGGAATCACAAGTATCATCAATGGAATCTTTGTTACTGCAGGAATCACAAGTATCATCAATGGAATCTTTGTTACTGCAGGAATCACCAGTATCATCAATGGAATCTTTGTTACTGCAGGAATCACCAGTATCATCAATGGAATCTTTGTTACTGCAGGATTAACCAGTATCATCAATGGAATTTTTGTTACTTCAGGAATCACCAGTATCATCAATGGATTCTTTGTTACTGCAGGAATCACCAGTATCATCAATGGAATCTTTGTTACTTCAGGAATCACCAGTATCATCAATGGAATCTTTGTTACTGCAGGAATCACAAGTATCATCAATGGAATCTTTGTTACTGCAGGAATCACAAGTATCAACAATGGAATCTTTGTTACTGCATGAATCACCAGTATCATCAATGGAATCTTTGTTACTGCAGGAATCACAAGTATCATCAATGGAATCTTTGTTACTGCAGGAATCACCAGTATCATCAATGGAATCTTTGTTACTTCAGGAATCACCAGTATCATCAATGGAATTTTTGTTACTGCAGGAATCGACAGTATCATCAATGGAATCTTTGTTACTGCAGGAATCACCAGTATCATCAATGGAATCTTTGTTACTGCAAGAATCACAAGTATCATCAATGGAATCTTTGTTACTGCAGGAATCACCAGTATCATCAATGGAATCTTTGTTACTGCAGGAATCACCAGTATCATCAATGGAATCTTTGTTACTGCAGGAATCACCAGTATCATCAATGGAATCTTTGTTACTTCAGGAATCACCAGTATCATCAATGGAATCTTTGTTACTGCAGGAATCACCAGTATCATCAATGGAATCTTTGTTACTGCAGGAATCACCAGTATCATCAATGGAATCTTTGTTACTGCAGGATTAACCAGAATCATAAATGGAATCTTTGTTACTGCAGGATTAACCAGTATCATCAATGGAATCTTTGTTACTGCAGGAATCACCAGTATCATCAATGGAATCTTTGTTACTTCAGGAATCACCAGTATCATCAATGGAATCTTTGTTACTGCAGGAATCACAAGTATCATCAATGGAATCTTTGTTACTGCAGAATTCACCAGTATCATCAATGGAATCTTTGTTACTGCAGGATTAACCAGCATCATAAATAGAAATCTTTGTTACTGCAGGATTAATCAGTATCATCAATGGAATCTTTGTTACTGCAGGAATCACCAGTATCATCAATGGAATCTTTGTTACTGCAGGAATCACCAGTATCATCAATGGCACCATTGGTTCTGTTAGAATCACCAGCATCGTCAACAACACAATTACTATACACATAATCATTTTTGCAAGCTTTACAAGAGACATAACAATTATTTTAATAATTGGCATCCTTAAGCTTAGCAGGGGTGTAAATTTTATCCAAGAAAACATTAACTGTGTCATCAAATAAATTGCTGTCAATATTGTTAGGAAAGTTTGCACTGTCATCAAGGTTATCAATACACTGATTTATTTGGCTGCTCAATTATGCTGATGAGCTCAAAATGTCGTATAAGCAATCAAAAGTAGGATATGTACATTACCTTGCTATACACCAAGTGTTATTGAAATATTTCATTCTTTAATCTAGTTATTGACTGAAAACAAACCCAAAAGCAGGCTGATGAGCTGGCAGGCGTGATACACACTACATGGTTTCTGCTCAGTAACTATATAAAGTTTGGTTAAAAGTTGTCGTTGTGATTAAAAGGATATTAGATCAATTATTACATATTGAAAAACAAAGGACCATAATTAGGTCAAAATAATTCATTTAGAAAACCCTGCCAATATGCATGAGGGCACTTAATGGAAAAGCTTCAGTGAAAGTTTTAACAAAATCATTTAGAAATGTAGGAAGAGCTGCGCACAGAAGAAATTGTTCACTGCATTTTCTATACTAGCAAAAAACAAAGGGCCATTATTAGGTAAAAAATTATCCGATCACAAAACGCTGATAATATGCACCAGGGAACTTGATTATAAAGCTTCTGTGAAAAATTGGTCAAAATCCCTTAAGAACTGCAGAACTATTTGCACAGACAAGAAATTGTTTACGCCCACTTGTCCGCCAGCTAATTCGTCCGCCCGTCGATATACCTCAATCTAATAACCATATTTTTCCAGAAAACCTGTTTTATAAAAGATTTTGAACCGATGTTAGAGTGAATGGGCACAGGAAGGGACAACATACTCATGACTGTAGCAATAGCTCAAAATTTTCTTCCTTAAGTCAAGTAAAAACAGCAAATTGCCATTTCCTTTCATTATAAGTTGTTTAAGTTGTTAGTCTAACTTACAATATCTTCATCCCTGAGACGTAATGTGCGACGCATTCTTGGTCTAGATACCCTTGCATACATCCTTCCTCCATTACCTTGAATTGTAACCGAAACAATTGTGTTATATGGAAACGACATTACTGATGTGTAAAAATAAGCCTAATATATAAAATTTGAAATTCTCACATTGATAAAAAAAACCACTTAAAATGACAAAATCTTCAAAAGTCAATGATGAAATCTACTCAGAATTAAAGAAAATCTATACTTATATTTTATAGTTTAAACTTTTGATAATTGCTCTATAGTCTTTTTGTAAATATAAAATAGATATGTTTTGACTTCACACAAAATAGATATGCTATTATGCTTTAAATCGTAGTTCTGTAAGAAAGGACCAGTTTAACTTGACCTGTAAAAAGGAACATAGATTCCCATACATAATTTGTGTGTTCATAATTTAAATAAGACATATTCAGTAAGAATTATAGATTTTAATAAATTTCTGTAATCAAAATTTTTTATTTAAAGATGAGCATCATAAAGTATAAATTAAATCAATGATTTGTGTATGCATTAAACCTTTTCAATAATGTTTTGTATGCATTTATTTTGAAAGAAAACATAAAATAATGAGTTTTAAAATTGAATATTTTGGCTTTAGAAATTATCAAGGTACCATTCCTGTTTATTTACAATGGTTTAAAATCCATCTTGAAATATGACATTTATACACATCTTGTTATGTTTTCCGAAATGCTTTATTTCTATTTAACATGTACGTTACAATAGTAAAACTGATATCTGTAGGAATACAGTGTTATTACAAAAATAAATGCCATCCATTTATTTCTTGTTGAAAATATTTCATCAGAAACTCTGCAACTTCTATTTTTTTAGATTTAAGAATAACACGCTGATAATATTTGACTTTTAATTTTTTCCGGATATATTTTTCTTTATTTCTATATAAACTAAGTGACCCAAAACTATGGTTGGGTAAAATCTTTTACCAAAGGGCCCAAAAGGCATGGTTTGTGTAACTTTCAAAGAGGTCAAGAAGGCAAAGCTACTCGCTTTTCCTCTAGGCATTATAGTTTCAGATAAGAAGAGATGTGTTTCCTATTTAAGACCATATAAATTTCGTGAGCCCTGGGATAGGTCAATTTTTAACTGAAGTTGGGATGATTTAAATAACTTTTAAAGAGGACCACGAGATGATGCAGCATGCAAAATAATCATTACATATTATACATTACGTATTACATTTTCTGAGGATGAAATTTTTAGAGATGTGTTTTCGTAATTCATTTTAGCTTCTGTGACCACATGCAGCAAACTTAAATTATTTTATGAGTTTTGTAAAGATTATTTATATGAAGTTTGGTCAAAATACACCAGTTGGTTATTGTTTTGGAATTTGTAATAACCATAGATGGATGACAGACACATTCATCAGGATCATTACTGTGAAATCTGGCCAAAATCTACTATGTGATTTAGGAGTTATAAAGAAAATAATGGATTAAGATATATGACTGACACAATGTTATCACAAAACCTTATCATCTAACAGTCATGTATTACAGAGAAATGTGCAATTAATACATACCTGTCATATCATTTTCGACTTTCATCCGCTCATCTTGAGGCATGTCTTCATCATTAATATTAGGGCTATGAAATAAAGGTAAAAACATGAAATATTTGGAATCACCTTTATAGCAAAGATTCTTACAAAGTTCAATATAAATTAAATTATCACTGAATAAGATTTAAAAAAAAACAGCAAACACCTGTTATTCCTACAACAGAGGCAACCACAAACGGGTTCCTAACCTCACTTTCTCTTCTTATCAAATGCAAATACATTAAAAGAGGCATTTTAGTCACCATATCTGGATAACTAAATTTGAAAGTTTGGTCCTTTGTAGCAAATTCCAAGAAGTAAGAAGAGGTCATTTGAAGTTTAAAGAAATATTTACTTTAGTTGTTCAACATGTCATGTTATATCAATCACATCTTTGCATAAATTCCTAAATTTTATAGAAACTAGAATTTCACATTTGTCCTTCAGGGTCAATGATTTGAACTTTAAGGGTGACATTGATCTTGAGTTGCATAGCAGCTGCATGGATTTTCCAATCATACTTAACGGAGAGAGATTCTAAAAAGCTTATCAAGCTTCCTACTCAAACAAATTAGTTATGTCTCAATTATCATGTAAATGAAATGTTTAGAAATAAAAAAATATTTCAACTAAATCATGTTTTTAAGATAAACATTTGAGTCAAGTTTGAAGAAAATTTGTCAAAGGGTACAGGACTGATTGGACATGATGACGTCTGACTGACGGAGGGACGGGACTGTCTGACTGACTGACAGACCGATCGACCTACATGTGAGGGGGGGGGCGTAAAGAAAATTTTATTTTGCCTCTTTCATTAAATTTTAAAAATTTTAATTTTAAAATCTTTTGCTTCCAGATAGTAAATGAAAACAAGGGCAACATTGTCGCAATGTACGCACGTCACAGAAGCTTTTGACAGAAATTTGGGCATTATAGATGTGCATATTGGAGATATGCTCTGGGCAATATCTTTATATGCTATCATCTCTAGTGATTTTTTATCTGAACCTTGACCCCTATGTGTGACCTTGACCTAAGCAGCAGGGACATTAATTTTGCGCACGACACTACGCCTGACAATAGTGAACATTTGTGCCAAGTTATATTGAAATTCACCTTTGCATGTAGAAGTTTTGCTCCGGACAAGCATTTTTGAATGACCTCTAAGTGTAACCTTGACCTTTAACCTAGAGGCCTGGTTCATGCGCGCGACACGGCTTCTCATAGTGGTGAACATTGGTAAAAAGTTTCATTAGAATCCTTCCATATGTGTAGGAGAACAAAATCTCTAAATATAATTATCTTTAGTGACCTTGGCAATCATCTATAGTGACCTTGACCTTGCATATATTAATCTAAATTACATGTTTCACACCATTAGTCATGATAATGTCCATTTGTGTTTCAACCCCTCAATAAATGATGACTAAATGGTCCCAAAACACATTTTCATATTTTTATTTGAACTTTGATCCCCATATGTGACTTAATCCTTAGCCGCAGGAACCTAAATTTTGCACGCTACACTTGTCCTCACAATAGTGAACATTTGTGCCAAGTTATATTGAAATACCTCTATGCATGTAGAACTTTTGCTCCGGACAAGCATTTTTCAATGCTCTCTAAGTGTGACCTTGGCCTTTGAACTACAGACCTGGTTCATGCGCGCTACACAGCTGCTTATAGTGGTTAACATTTGCTTGAAGTTTCATTAAAAATCTTCCATGGGTGTAGGAGATATGCTCCGGACAAAAATTGGACGCCGCCCGCCCAGACGCCCACCTGGCGGGCGGCCAGGTGGGAAACTATAATACGATCCGTTTTTCAAAAGGGCGTTTAAAAATGAATAAGATTTTAAAACAATGGTAAATACTGGTATTGTTGAGGTAGATGTGTAATTTCATAATTACTGACCTCTTAAAGCAGCATGCCTCCATATACATGATCATTTTCATGAAATTTTAAAGTAAAATATTGTAAAGTGAACAAAGAAAACTATTTACACATTACATCAGGGTAAATTATCAAAGAAGAGGTCAAAAAAAGCAAACGTAGCCATTACTGTATTTGTAATGCAGTAGACATTTGGTAATAAATACGGCAAAATCAGTCTTTCATCACAACACATAACACGTAAATTATAACTTGAATCTCAGATCTTTCAATCTTTTTTAATCTAAGAGCATATTTCTCAACTTTAATTTTCTTGAACCATTTTGGTTCATATGGAGGCATGCAGTTTTCATTTAATAAAGTTGACAAAATCATCAATAAATTAAGTTTCTTTTTTTTTGCATAATCCTCTGAGCTACTAAAGAGAGTAGCCTGTAGAAAATAAGACAATTTATTCGAAATCATCTCTGTCACATCTCTGACAAAGGGTATACGAGTACAAGGAGCAAGTAATGATAAATCTATTAAATGGACAGGATTTGACTTTGAAGTTTTGAACATGGGTTTTGCACAAAACATATTGTCCACTTATGATGATGATATGCTCCAATTTATTTTATTTTGAAATCCAATCATGCATCCAGAATTCATGAACTGGACACTATCTTCAACAGCACTTTGAGCTATATAAATAAACTCTCAGATCAAATTCTTGAAGTGACCTTTACTTACTTTTGAGCTTTGAATGCGACATACATTCTTATTTATATGGTGATCAAGTATATCAGGTCTTTTTTGAAATCGCATCATGCATAAGAAGTTATGATCAAGATACAAACTTAAACAGTACTTTAGACAATATGAAAATGCACAAAATTGCATAGCTAGAATCATGACTTTGAGGGAGAGACCTTGGTTTTGTGTATGACACATTGTCTTATGATGGTCTCATGCACCAATATATTTTGAATTCCCATAAAGCATGCTTAAGTTATCGACTTGTTACAAACTCCAAATGCACTTAGCATTGTACAATAGAACAAAAATAGTTTCATAAAAATCTATCCAATGTTTTATTGCCCTACCGTGACATTGACTTTTGACCATAGAACCTAGGTCTTGTGTATTTAAAAATCCATCATCCATGAAGAACACATGGTACGTCATATATTAACTACATAGACAAAGGATACACTATATTCCCACATTGTGTCGGGGAATTCAAACATACTTGAATTGGCAAAAAATGCATATGTTCCAAATGTAAATGGTAAAATGGTATTGGAAATGCGATGGAAATGAAATGAAAGAGAATTTAAATTTTCTAGTCATTATCTTTCATTCATATGTTCAAAGACATGATTGAAACGTTTAGTAGAAATTGACGAATAGTTCTTGTTAATTTACTAATAATGTCAAATGCATGTTTTTGTGAGTTTCTTTGTCGATCAAATGCCTCATCTTATCAACATTGTTGTCAATTGTTATATGATCCCATGCTCAATTTTGCCTACATGTATATAGCCTAAAGTTCATTTGTTTCATGTTTGGTGCTTTTTCTATTTTCT